AAAAAAAAGAGAGAAAGAGAAAAAAAAAGCTTTTACTTTGTCTATTCATTTTGGAATGACTTTCGAAACGAAAATTACACAAAATGATATGACTTAGAATGAGTTCCTATCTATCTAAATCTTACCCATTCTTTAGGGCACAACTCAGCATATTCCCCTCCACCACACCCACCCCCAATTACAGCTAAAAATAATCTCTTTCCTGTGAACAATAATAGTAATTCAATGAGCTATTTTAATGATCAAGCACTGACAATCTGCTGTTATATTTGCTTACAACATCAAGAAAAGACAGCTATCATTTGGTTTCTCAATGAAAGCATTATAATAGACGTTATAAGGTTCTCAAGGGACTACCATTAAAATGTGTGGTATATGTCAACAATGGTACAAATGTCATTTCCATTTTCTAATGGAAAGTCAATTCCATTGACTTCCACATGGAGATCATTTCCATTTTGCAAGTCATTCCAAAACGAAGGGACATGAAGGTGCTATTTAAAGCCATAATTGGCCGGTAACGGTGGCTCACGCCTATAATCCCAGCACTTTGGGAGGCTAAGGCGGGTGGATCATGAGGTCAAGAGATCAAGACCATCCTGGTCAACAAGATGAAACTCTGTCTCTACTAAAAATACAAAAATTAGCTGGGCATGGTGGTGCACGCCTGTAGTCCCAGCTACTCAGGAGGCTGAGGCAGGAGAATTGCTTGAACCCAGGAGGCGGAGGTTGCAGTGAGCTGAGATCGCACCGTTGCACTCCAGTCTGGGTAACAACAGCGAAACTCCGTCTCAAAAAAAAAAAAAAAAAAAAAAAAAAAAAAAAAAAAACACAAACATAATTACATAATTACTGAGTGAAATGACATGGTACCCTGGACTATCACAATTGACTTCTCTTTATATATAAGACCATGCCAACCAGCTAGTTTCCATTTAAAATATAGTCCATCTGCTGCTACATTCTGGCTATTTTGTACCCAGAGAAAAATGTTTATTGTACCACTTAGCTAGTAAAAAAAAGGAAAAGAATATGAGCAGTAACAATTAGTGTACCGAAGGTGCTTACACTATATTTTGGTTTACATCATTTAAAAAGGGCAAGACAGTAGCAGAACACTTATTTCAACAGACTACCTGTTACTAGAAAAAGCTACAGAAACAGATATATTCCAAAAGTAATAGTTGGAAGAGTGATGCTTTTGCTTGAAACAAGATAAAATGAAAATTACACAAATAATTCAAGATTCCATAATTCAAATACCACAAACCAAATTATAAACATTCTAAAGAGCCCACAGATAATGTGAATAAACTGCATGGGAGAGACAGTACATTATAGTGGTCACAGACACATACCTTGGGAATCAGTCAGACTTGGAGTACAATCCTCTTTTCTCTATTTAAATTATAGTCATATGCCCTTTGATAAACTTATTCAACCTCTACAAACCTGTTTCATTATATATAAAATGGAAGTACTACAACTGTATTTTCCAGATTCTAACAAGCCCTTGAAAAGATATATATAAACATTTCTAGAATCAGGATGAGTCTGACGATTGATTCTAAAGAAACTAGACAGCCAGGAATCAGAGAAATAATTTGTGGCAGATTTAGCTTTCAGTATGTGCAAACTGAAGTCTGAGTTGTTTATTCTGGTGGTAACATACTTAAACTTTTACTTAATTCTCTTTTTTTTTTTTTTTGAGACAGAGTCTCACTGTGTTGCCCAGACTGGAGTGCACTGGCAAAATATTGGCTCACTGCAATCTCCGCCCCCCAGGTTCAAGTGATTCTCCTGCCTCAGCCTCCCAAGTAGCTGGGATTACAGGCACCCACCACCAAGTCCAGCTAATTCAGCTAACTGAATTTTTAGTAGAGATGGGATTTCACCGTATTGGCCAGGCTAGTCTTGAACTCCTGACCTCAAATGACCCACCCACCTCGGCCTCCCAAAGTGCTGGGATTACAGGTATGAGCCACCATGCCCACCCATTACTTCTTTTTTTGTTTTTTTAAGATGGAGTCTTGCTCTGTCACCTAGGCTGGAGTGCAGTGGCACGATCTTAGCTCACTGCAATCTCTGACTCACGGGTTTTCAAGCCACTCTCCTCCCTCAGCCTCCCTAGTAGCTGGGATTACAGGCACGCGCTACCAGGCCCAGCTAATTTTTTTTTTTTTTTTTTGAGACAGAGTCTTGCTCTGTCACCCAGACTAGAGCGCAGTGACACAATCTCGGCTCGGCTCTCTGCAACCTCCGCCTCCCAGGCTCAAGCAATTCTCCTGCCTCAGCCTCCCAAGTAGGTACGAATACAGGCATGCGCCACCACACCCAGCTAATTTTTGTATTTTTAGTTGAGACAGGGTTTCACCATGTTGGCCAGGAAGGTCTTGATCTCTTTACCTCGTGGTCCTCCTGCCTTGGCCTCCCAAAGTGCTGAGATTACAGGCGTAAGCCACCACACCTGGCCAGAGATAAGTTATTTAATTAAAGAAATTTACAAGTTTAACCAAATAGAAACCACCAAGGAAATCCGTTTTCTTTGATATGCTTCCACAATTACAAAAGTGTTAAATAGATGCAGGCATAGGATATAAAAGCAGCACATCAGTACGATGATAGATACAACTCCTAACCAATGCCCAAAAGTGATTCATAAAAATCTTAAGACTCCCAAACATAAAGACTTGGATTCAAACTTTGATTATAATGCTACAGAAGCTGGAGAAGGGATAAATGTTATCTTCAAAAAGAAGCCAGGCACAGTGGCTCATGCCTGTCATCCCAGCACTTTGGGAGGCTAAGGCAGGGAGATCACTGAGTTCAGAAGTTCGAGACCAGCCTGGCCAACATGGTGAAACCCCGCCTCTACTAAAAATATGAAAAATAGCTGGGTATGATGGTGCACACCTATAACTCCAGCTACTGGGGAGGCTGAGGCAGGAGAATTGCTTGAACCTGGGAGGCAGAGGCTACAGCAATCTGAGACAGCGTTACTGCACTCCTGCCTGGGTGACAGAATGAGACTCTGAGAAAGAAAAGAAAAGAAAAGAAAGAAGGAGGGAAGGCGAGAAAGAAAAAGAAAAGAGAGAGAAAGAAAGAAAGAAAGAAAGAAAAAAGGAAGGAAGGAAGGAAGGAAGGAAGGAAGGAAGGAAGGAAGGAAGGAAGGAAGGAAGGAAGGAAGGAAGGGAAAAGAAAAAAGTAGCATTCCTCCAACTCCTCCAAGTCAAAAATATTCCAGTAATATTCATCTTAAAGCTTTCTGGTGAGGAATAAATGAGATCATATGTAAAATATTTATCACAGCGCCTAGCACACAGTGTGAGCGTTCGATAAATTGTTATTATTATTGATCAAATTTTGAAAAAACACTAATTTAAAAAATGAATGACAAATTATTCTCTATTATAAACACCAATCTAAATATAATGGCTTAAGCTACAGAAGAATATTTTCTTAGAATTTAAAAAATTTCCTAATTAAAAAAAATTTTTACCAACATAATAATTATATCAAGAAGTATTTTTGTTAAATATAAAGGTAAATCTTATCTAAACCAGCTGTTCATTAATACTCTCCGTCATTTAACAAGTAACTTTTTTTTTTTGAGACAGAGTTTCTCGCTCTTGTTACCCAGGCTGGAGTGCAATGGCGCAATCTCAGCTCACTACAACCTCTGCCCCAGGTTCAAGCAATTCTCCTGCCTCAGCCTCTGGAGTAGCTGGGATTACAGCATGCGCCACTACACCTAGCTAATTTTGTATTTTTGGTAGAGACAGGGTTTCTCCATGTTAGTCAGGCTGGTCTCAAACTCCCAACCTCAGGTGATCCCGCCCACCGTGGCCTCCCAAAGTGCTCGGATTACAGGAGTGAGCCACTGGGCCCGGCCAGGTAACCCTTTAACAGTGGTTTATGTATCAGTCATTAAGATTATATAACACTTTAATAGAGCTGCTAAAAAATATAATTTATGAAAAAAGCAAGTTTTTTTGGTTTCTGGGTTTTTTTTCTTTGAGGCAGGGTCTCATTCTGTCACCTAGGCTGGAGTGCAGTGGCACAATCTCAGCTCACAGAAACCTCTGCCTCCTGGGTTCAAGTGGTCCTCTGACCTCAGTCTCCTGAGTAGCTGGGACCATAGGCACAAGCCACCACACCTGACTAATTTTTTTTCTTTTGTCTTTTTTTTGTTTGTTTACCTGACTAATTTTTATATTTTTTTGGTAGAGATGGGGTTTCAGCATGTTGCCCAGGCTGGTCTCGAACTCCTAGGCTCAAGTGATCCATCCATCTCTACCTCCCAAAGTGCTGGGATTATAGGTGTGACCTACCGTGCCCAGCCAAAGCAAGTTGTTTAAACAAAAAGTCACAAACTAGTAAATCAAGGGCCAAATTAGAAACAGAGACATGTTTTCTGTGAGTCACACAAGTTTTGTTTTGTTTTTTAATTAATTACCAAGATTTAATGTTCTTTTAAAATCCAGATTCACAGCTTCCTATAAGAAAGAGAATCTGGGAATGCTGGACTCATGACTATAATCAGCTAGAGCTAAGTCAAAGATGCTCCCCAGCCCCTTGCCCCACTCTTCAACTGGGCTTAATCTCAATCCTGCCCACATTAGCCTGTTTAACCTTCCTGGCCTTTGTAAACATTTAAATCTGCAACTTTTTTTGTCTGAGACAGAGGCTGGACAGCAGTGGCGCAATCTCAGCTCAATGCAGCCTTCACCTCTCCAGTTCAAGCAATTCTCCTGGCTCAGCCTCCTGAATAACTGGGATTACAGGCATGTGCTACCTCATCTGGCTAATTTTTTGTATTTTTAGTAGAAATACAAAAATACAATGGGGTTTCACCATGCTGCTCAGGCTGATCTCTAACTCCTGAGCTCAGGCCATCTACCCACCTTGGCCTCCCAAAGTGCTAGGATTACAGGTGCGAGCCACCACACCCAGCCTGAATCTGAAACTTTTAATGTACACATTAGGCTTGTTTTTCTAACCTGGAGTTTCGGAAGAATTGGACAATGGAGCAGATGCTTCAGCTAAGGCAGCTAATGTAGCTAATACTGATGTAGAAGAGTTTCCAAACTGAACCGCAGATACACCCGTTTCATCTGTAAGAAAAAAGAAAATAGATTTGAATTTCTACGGAGCTTAATCCAATGCAAATTTCTGATATTCTATTTATCTTATTCAACTCTTAAACAAAGCTTGGATAGCATTAGTGTTTGAAAGGTAATACTGCGGTAAATTTTGCAGTATCACCTTTCTTCAGATTTTTTGTCTCATATTTGTTTTTCTGTCAGTTATACCAAAGAAAACCAAGGTGGCTGGTATAATCTTACCCTTGTTCTCCAAGTCCTTTCTTAAAAGGATGCATACCTACTAAAGCATAAAATCCCAACACCTATCCTATATGCATCTCAATACCTGTTGCCTTGGATGAATTTTCTGAAGATACCAGACCTGTTAGGTTCACCACCCCTCCAGGTCCAATGATAAACTGTGGTGTTGCAGCATGTATTGTCACAGTGTCAGGACTCTCTGGATTTGTGTTGATTTGGTTCTGCATAGCAATCTAGGGGACAAATCACCACAGTGTTTTCAGAATTACAACCAGAACACAAATTCTCCATATAATACAAACACACATATAAAGGAATATTCTCTAAGAAGAATCACATAGTACAAGTGGAAATATTTGTCTAAGGTCCCCTGAGAGTGTAGTGGCATACCAAGGGTACATATTTATATCCTGAGTCCCCCTCTTAGGAAAAGTAGCAAAATCCTGGGAGAGGAGAAATGAGTATTTAAAAGGTCTTTATAGAATACAGAACAACTTGGACATTAAGCCAGATGAGGTGGCAGGTGCCTGTAATCCCAGCTACTCAGGAGGCTGAGGCAGGAAGAGTGCTTAAGCCCAGGAGTTCAAGACCACACGGGCAACATAGTGAGACCTCCATCTCAAAAACAAAACAAAACACACACCAAAAAAAACATTGCTGCCCTGTAGCTATAGGAATTTAATTATTTCTTCTACATATGGCAATACATAATACCACACATACAAATTACTTCTCAATTACTTGCTCCCCATCTTCAACTCCAACCCCTAAACTGCACTCCTAGGAGTAAAAGGAATGGAAAGAGGCATGGTAGAATTCATTTTCCTGAAATAAAACATCCTTTAAGTAACTAGTGAAAGCTCAAAGGAGTCAGATAGTCTTAGAAAAGAAGAGTTCTGGCTAGGGGTGGTGGCTCATGCCTATAATCCCAGCACTTTGGGAGGCCGAAGCAGGCAGATCATAGGGTCAGGAGTTCAAGACCATCTGGGTAACATGACAAAACCCCATCTCCTAAAAATACAAAAATTAACCAGGTGTGGTGGTGCGAGCCTATAATCCCTGCTACTTGGGAGGCTGAGGCAGGAGAATTGCTTGAAACCAGAAGGTAGAGATTGCAGTGAGCAGAGATTGCGCCACTGTACTCCAGCCTGGGCAACAAGAGCAAAACTCCATCTCAAAAAAAAAAAAAAAGAAAAGAAAAGAAGAGTTCTAATGCTGGGAACAAGAACAAGCAGTTAGGAAAGAAGAGGTATTAATTAAAGAAGATAATTTATATCATGTCATCTGGCTGAAAATAAAAGAAGTAATGTTGGTTACTAGAAAAACCTGCCCAACGGATCACGAAGTCAAGAGATTGAGACCATACTAGCCAACTTGGTGAAACCCCGTTTAAAAGACAAAAGAAAAACCTGCTCCAAAGCCAAAAACAACAGATCTTTTTGAGGATACTGAAAATCAGACTGCATTAAAATGCAACAAAAATAATAGAATAAGGCCGGGGGTCAGCGGTGACTCATGTCTGTAATCCTAGCACTTTGGGAGGCCAAGGCAGGTATAGACTGCCTGAGCTGAGGAGTTCAGCACCAGCCTGGGCAACACGGTGAAACCCCATCTCTACTAAAAATACAATACATCTCTACTAAAAATACAATAAATTAGCTGGGTCTGACAGCGTGCATCTGTAGTCCCAGCTATTCAGGAGGCTGAGGCAGGACAATTACCTGAAGCCAGGAGGCAGAGGTTGCAGTAAACCGAGATCATGCCACTGCACTCCAGCCTGGGCAACAGAGCGAGACTCTGGCTTAAAACACACACACACGTCTAAAGGGAAATCACCAAAAGTAATCATCTCATCTAATGTTAATGAAAAGACTGTAATAAAGTAATAAAGAAGAAGTGAAAGAGAAAAGGCCTGTCCAAAATAACGAAGTCCAACATGAAAGGCTACAAACTAAATAGTTCAAATAATCCACAACATAAGAGATCCTACTACCAATAAAGCTTCTTTTTCTTTATTTTCTTAAATTAAAAGCCAAAAGTTACCTGTAATATCTCTGCTAAATCTTCATTTCCATTGTCTATTGAAATATCAAATGCAGTTTTACAAAATTTACTTTGTGTGTGTACATCAGCACCATATTTGATTAAAAGTTCCACCACCTCTTGATGATTGTGTTCTGTGGCCCAATGGAGAGCTGTCATCTTTAACATGTCTTTTGCATTGACATCAGCACCATGCTACAAAAATATTTCAAAGAGATTACTAAGATATGAAATATAATATAAAGAATTCCTGATATGAAATTATTACTTCTGTGCTTTAAAGCAAGAACGAATAACATAATCAATTCTTTATTTGTCTATGTTAAATGCATTTACTTCTGTGCTTTAAAGCAAGAACGAATAACATAATCAATTCTTTATTTGTCTATGTTAAATACATGTTCCAGGCTAGGTGCCATGGCTCATGCCTATAATCCCAGCACTTTGGAAGGCCAAGGCGGTTGGATTACCTGAGCTCAGGAGTTTGAAACGAGCCTGAACAACATGGCAAAACCCCATCCCTACAACACAAAAAATACAACAATTAAGGGCTGGCTCACACCTGCAATCCCAGCACTTAGGGAAGCTAAGGCAGGCAAATCACTTGAGCTTAGGAGTTGGATACCAGCCTGACCAACATGGTGAAACCCTATCTCTACTAAAAATATAAAAATTCGCCAGGCATTGTGACACACACCTGTAATCCCAGCTACAGGGGAGACTGAGGCAGAAGAATCGCTGGAACCCGGGAGGCAGTGGTTGCAATAAGCCAAGATCACACCCCGCATTCCAGCCTGGGCAACAGAGCGAAACTTGTCTCAAAAGAAAAAAAAAATACAAAAAAGTAGCGGGGTGTGGTGGCACACACCTGTGGTCCCAGCTACTCAGGAGGCTAAGGTGGGAGGGTTGCTTGAGCCTGAGAGGCAGAGGTTGCAATAAGCCAAGGTCAGCCACTGCACTCCAACCTGGGTGACAGAGTGAGAGACTATCTCAGGGAAAAAAAAAATACACACACACACACATGTTCCAGCAACAATCACCACTTATCTGTCACTTATTCTCTCATGCTGAATTTCCTGTTTTCCCTCTCATTTATTAGGAATGAGGCAATTATTTTTTTTTTTTCAGTCATGCAGCTATGGGCACAAAGAGCTAGAAGGCCTAAGAAATGAAGGAAACTATAAGCATTCCTCTAAAACCTTCTTTAATGTTTCTATGGCAGCTAGTCCCTTGGTTCCTCATTTGCACACACACACACACACACACACACACACACACACACACAAAATCCTTTGCTTTCAAAACCAGTGCACCCCAGAAATAAAATAAATTATGGAAAGAAAAGGTGCAATATGAAGAATTAAAAGAAAGCTATCTACAGATATATTGTCCGATATGACAGCTGATAGACACATGTAATTATTGAGCATTTGAAATGTTGCTAGCCACAACAGAGATGTGCTATATGTATAAATACATATTGAAAAATACCAAAAAAATAAAATGTAATATATCTCATTAATAATTTTTTTACTGAACAGGGCACAGTGGCTCATGCCTATAATCCCAGCACTTTGGGAAGTCAGGAGTTCAAGACCAGCCTGACCAACATAATGAAACCCTATCTCTACGAAAAACACAAAAATAGCCAGGCATGGCAGTGGGCACCTGTAATCCCAGCTACTTGGGAGGCTGAAGCAGGAGAACTGCTTGAACCCGGGAGGTGGAGGTTGCTATGAGCCAAGATCATGCCACTGCACTCCAGCCTGGGCAACAAAGCTAGACTCCATCTCAGAAAAAAATAATTAATAATTTTTATACTGATTTCATGTTGAAATGATATTAATCTTTGTATGCATTGGGTTAAATAAAATATAAAATTAGAATTACTTTATAAATGTGGCTACTAGAATATTTAGAATTACAGTATATGGTGATTTGCATTTATGGCTTCCACTGTATTTCTTTTGGATGGGCTGATGTAGAGGCCAGGATAAGAAGGATCAAGCAGAACATCTATCACTCTACGTTTCAGAATTTTCTACATCACTCTAAGGCATTTAGATGATTATAGAAAAATCCCCATTTATATTATTTGCTAATATGTTTGTTAATCATTCAACCCTACTGTTCTCCCTTCCATGAGCATTGTGACTCTAAGACAAAGCTGTAGTCCCTCACCCAAAGGTAGACCAACGTCCAAGAAATCAATTAGTTGACTTAACTAAGAATATACCTAAAGTAAGTTTTGTCCCTCATGAAATGAAAACTGTAAGATAATTTTCACTTAATGGGCTTATTCACACAAAAAATGAAATACTACAGGTAAAATACTAAGTAGGCGTTTAACAAAAACTAGTTTTCTCTACTTCTTATAATAAAGTCTTCGGGGGCTTACTTTTAAAAGCAAAGTGCATAAAGAGAACACACACCTTAAGTAAAACCTCTACTATGCTGGCATGGCCCTCAGAAGCTGCCATATGTAATGGTGTTCGGTCCACTTTGGTTCTGGCATCTCTACTTACACCAGCTCGGAGCAGTACCTCTGTGGTGGAATAATGACCATACTGTGCTGCTAGATGAAGGGGAGAAGTTCCCAGCTGTACCACAGAAAAAAAATCCACATTTACCATTATTGTTAGCACACTTCTGTTTACATAGTAAACAAATTTTCTTTATATTATCTGTTTACATAACTCAAAACTCAAAAGAAATGACTTGATTCATGCTTATCACATCCTCTTCATAGACTCCCTGAAGAATTACCAAACATTCTCAATGAAGAAGAAAATCTATTATTTCTTTTGATTCAAACTTTTTCTTCATTTTTTTTAAATCAGATAAGCTGCCGAAATAAAATTAATCTCATTAGAAATTAGAGATAGAGGCGGGGCACAGTGGCTCACAAAGCCTGTAATCCCAGCACTTTGGGAGGCCAAGGCAGGTGAATCACTTGACGTCAGGAGTTCAAGACCAGCCTGGCTAACATGGTGAAACCCTGTCTCTATTAAAAATACAGAAATTACCCAGGCATGGTGGCACACACCTGTAATCCCAGCTCTTTGGAAGGCCGAGGCAACAGAATTGCTTGAACCCACGAGGCAAAAGTTGCAGTGAGCCAAGATCATGCCACTGCACTCCAGCCTGGGTCAGAGCAAGACTTTGTCGAAAGAAAGAAAGAAAGGAAAGGAAGAAAAAGAAAGAGAGAGAGAGAGAGAAATTAGAGATAGAGTATGAGAGATTTTTCTGTGTATTAGAATGTGTTCTTCATACCAATCACATAAAACTTGCTAAGTTAACTTCATCTGTAAAATTCATATCAAATAAATGTAACAGTGTACATGTTTACTTTCAGTGGATCAAATTTGCTTTGTAGGACATAAAATATTAATGTATTAAAACATCTCAGTGATCTTTTTAAAGGGATTTTTTTCAAAGGAAAATTCTTAGGTCCACTTGCCAAAGTTGAATTAGGACAAAACCAAAACAGTGCCCAATTCTCCTGAAATTGGCTCCACATCATTAAATTGACATCCACAATACATAGAGGGAGTACTAAAATAAGAGGGAAGAAAGATTAAGTTATATCATATGCATTTCTATGCAAAGGCATAGAAAATCCCTACAACTCTCTGATTACCATGTCACTTGATATTCCAAAGAACTAAGATATTTCCCTAGAACATGAAATTTGCTAATTTGGACTAAGGAAATTTACACATATAAATAGTTTACTATGTTATGAAGAGATTAAGTGAGATATATGTACAAAGGTCCTTAGTCCTATCTCTCCCTCCCTCACCACCCCCTCCCATATATATATTTATATATATATATGTCTATATATCTATATATAGATATATACATATATATTTTAAATACATATATATATCTATATATAGATATATAGATTTTTTTTTTCTTTTTAAATTAGAGACAGGGCCTCACTGTGCTGCCCAAGCTGGGGTGCAATGGCTATTCACAGGTACAATTATCACACACTATAGCTTTGAACTGCTGGGCTCAAGCAATCTGTCCACCTCAGCCTCCAGAGTAGCTGGGACTATAGGCACACACCAACGAACCCAGATAAACCTTATATTTTTAAAGGAAGGTCATCCTAGCAGATCAAAGAAGATCCTTAAACAATCCTTTCTTTTTCCATGCTTCTTCAATTTTTCTATAATTAGCGCTTTCTACACTCTTAAATTTCAGTATTTAATGAAAATATCTCAACAGCCCATTTACCAACCAGGAGTTTTGCTCAGCTTGACATTAGGATCTACTTTAGTATTTTTGTCTTCTGAGACCTTCCCTTCTTGGTTATTGATGCAAAACATACACACATATATGAAGGATTTGTTTGTTTATTTGTTTTTTTCTGAGACACAGCTTCACTCTGGCACTCAGGCTGGAGTACACTGAGGTGATTATAGCTCACTGTACCTTCAAACTCCTGAGCTCAAGCGAGCTTCCTCCCTCAGCCTCCTAAAGTGCTGGGATTATGGATGTGAGCCACCACATGTGGCTATGTAGTTTTATAGTTTTTTGGGTTTTCTTTTTCTTAATTCATTTTTTTAGAGACAGGTTCTTGCTCTGTTGCCCAGGCTAGAGTGCAATAGAGCAACTGTAGCTCACTGTAACCTCTAACTCATAGGCTCAAGCAATCTTCCCATCTCAGCTTCCAGAGTAGCTAAAACTACAGACTAAGCCACCAAGCCTACCTATTTTTTTGTTCCCCTTCTCTTTTTTTTTTTTTTTTTTTTTCTTGAGATGGGGTCTCACTATGTTGCCCATGCTGGTCTTGAACTTCTGGCCTCAAGTAATCCACCAGCAGTTCAGCCTTCCAAAGTGCTGGGATTACAAGCGTAAGCCACTGTGCTCGGCCGATATACGTAGATTAAAGAAAAATAATAAGGCAAACATCTGTGAATCAACACCACAGTCCAGAAATAAAACATCGCCAGTAATTTAAATCTGGCCAGGTGCAGTGGCTCATGCCTATAAACCCAGCATTTTGGGAGACCAAGACGGGTGGATCACCTGAGGTCAGGAGTTTGAGAGCCTGACCAACATGGTGAAATCCTATCTACTAAAAATAAGAAATTAGCCAGGTGAGATGGCAGGTGCCTGTAATCCCAGCTACTTGGAAGGCTGAGGCAGGAGAATAGCTTGAACCTGGGAGACAGAGGTTGCAGTGAGCCAAGATCAAGCTACTGCATTCCAGCCTGGGCAACACAGCGAGACTCTGTCTTAAAAAAAAATTTTTTTTAAAAACTTCCCACATGCCACTCCCTAATCACAAGCCCCACACCAGCCCCAGAAGTAACTAATATCTTGAATTCTGTGGCAAGCATTTCTTTGTTTTCTTCATATCACTTCTATTTCCCTAAATAATATACTTTGGTTTTGCCTGAGTTTTATTCAAATAGAATAATATTGCATGCATTTCTGTCACTTGCCTTCTTTTGCTTGGTATTAAATTCATGAGATTCACCATATTAATAAATATAAGTACAGCTTACTATATTCTGTGTTCTACAATATTCCACTGAATGAATAAACCACAATTAATTTACCCAATCTAATCTACTGATGAACATTTGGGTTTCTAGTTTTTTCGTTATTAAGAATAATGTTGCTGCTAAATACAGTAGTTTTATACATGTTTCAAGCACATGAACAAGTTTCTCAGGAATATTCTTAGAAGTTCAACTGCTACATCATACAGTATGCACATCTTCAAATTTGCTACATGCTGCCAAACTGTCTTCCAAAACGATTATACCAGTTCCATACTTCCACCCAAATTATGTGACTTCCCACCATCTCCTCACCAAGCCTTGGTACTATTCAACTGCTTTTGTTAATCTGATGGATATATAATAGTAGTTCATAATTTTACTTTGCATTTGCCCAAATGTAAATGTAGCTGAGTATCTTTTCATGTTTATTGTTCAAATTTTCTCCTTGGTAAAGTACCACATCAAGTCAGTCTTCTATTGCCTTGTCTTTTTATTGCTGACTCATGGGAATTCCTTATGTATTTGGATACTAATCCTTCTTACGATCTTTTTGTTTTTGGGAGTCTCAGGTAGATCATGAGGTCAGGAGTTCGAGACCGGTCTGGCCAACATAGTGAAACCCCACCTCTACTAAAAATACAAAAAAATAGCCAGGTGGTGGGAGGCACCTGCAATCCTAGCTACTCGGGAGGCGGAGGCAAGAGAATCACTTGAACCTGGGACATGGAGGTTGCAGTGAGCCAAAATCATGCCATTGCACTTCAGGCCAGCCAACAATGCAAGACTCTATTTCAAAACAAAAAAAAAAAAGATCTTTTTGTCTTGAGTTACTACAGCATCATTATGATGCATCTAGATATGGATTAGTTTTTAAATTGATCCTGCTGGAGATTTGTTAGGTTACTCAAATCTGTGGGCTGCCATCTTTTAGTTCTGGAAAATTCTCAGCAGTTGCCTCTTCAAAGTATTTCATCCCTATTTTTGCTCTTTTTGTGGATCTATGATCAGATGTTAGACTTTTTCACATGATCCTTCATGACTCTTAACATCTGTTAAATAATTTATTATTAAATAATAAATTATTTAATAAATAAATAATTTATTTATTAAAATAAATAAATAAATCTATTAATTTATTTTAATAGATTAAATATTTAATCTATTTAATTAAATATTTTAATTAAATTAAATATTTAATTAAACATCTGTTTAATCTGTTACTAAAATCTTATCTCAAGTCCTTATGGGTCTGCTTCTGTTGTCAGTTGTTTTACCAGGTTATTGTTCAAACTGCCATGTGTTCGTGTGTTTAGTTATTTCTGACTGCTCACTTTTCTTTGAATTTCATCTGTGGCTATGAAGCCTGGGATGAAGGCAGGTTCCTCCAGAGAAGATATTCATTTGCTTCTGTCAGGAATCTGGGGTAATCTATAGTCCAAAGATCACTTCAAATTCATTTCTCAATTCACAGCTTTTTAAACTAAACACGTTGTTTTTTTTTTTTTCTTTTTTGAGACAGAGTCTCACTCTGTCACCCAGGCCGGAGTACAGTGGCCCAATCTCGGATCACCACAATGTTCGCCTTTCAGGTTCAAGTGATTCTCCTGCCTCAGCCTCCCAAGTAGTTGGGATTACACGCAAGTGCCACCACGCCCAGCTAATTTTTGTATTTTTAGTAAAGACAGGGTTTCACCATGTTGGTCCGGCTGGTTGAGAACTCCTGACCTTGTGATCCACCTGCCTCGGCCTCCCAAAGTGATGGGATGACAGGCATGAGCCATCACACCTGGCCTGACTACACAAATATTTATGAGTTCAGGCTGCAAGTGTGTATAAGGGATGCCTTGTGATTCCAAATTCTTACTATCAATTTTTTTCCCGCTCTCCATTTGATGTCTTGGTTCACATCAGCTCATTTTCTTTGAAGCATCAAGGCAACAGGGGCAGGTAGCAGAAGAGACAGGGTATTTCTGCTTTACCCTTACATTAAAGGTACAGCTCTTTGGGATTACAGAATTATGAGATCCCCTATTAGACTTCTCTCCATAAACAGTCTCAGGTCTTTAGCTTTAATACCCCAAGCCAGTGAGGTGGAAAAACCACCAGGCAAATGTGAGTTCACCTGATGTTCTTAGGGTAAAATTTCTCTGTGTTCTAGCCTTCACTTGGTTTTACAGGTTGATAATCTCTTTCTTTCTAACTCAGAAGTGTACTTAAGGAAAATTTTCCTTAAAATATTTAATCAAAAAGTCTTTATTCTTTAAAAATACCAGGTTGAAACATATATGGGTGAAATGATATAGTCCCTGGAATTTGCTTCAAAATAATACAGAACAAAAAATTATACAGTAGATGGAGTTATAGAGGAAACAAGATTCATCACAATTTGATAATTTTTGAAGTTGGGTAAAGGGTATTACAGGGGTTGATATATATTTGAAATTTTCCATAATAAAAAATTTTTGTTTTTGATGAAAAATTTACAAATAGCATGGAACAAAGGAAGGCAAAAACAATAAAATCAAAAATCTGGAATTTTCAGTTGTTACCAATAGGAGGGTTAATTCAGATTCCTAGCATTCCAAATCCCTAAGACAATACTTTTATTTGCCCCCAGACTTCTTTTTATAGTTGTCAAGATCTCATTCCCATTCCTTTCTTCCTCTTTGGTCATGTTTGCAATAGTTTTACAAGTAATAACTGAAACATAAACTTGTTTTTCTTTTTAGAAACAACTATAACACTAACTCCAATCTTTATCAGTATCTTTCTTAATTATACATTCTACCTGTGCTATTTATAAGACCTTTAAATTAAATACTAAATAGATACATTTTTATATTCATGCCACATTAATGCATTCCAAAGCTTGAAGGAAAAACTCTTCTTTGGATGAAATATTTGGATAAGGTTGTCCAATATCGAAGAAAATAATATAAACTACTTCTTTTAACAAAGGTATAATTCTAAAATAATAAACACATTTGCAAAAAAATATTTTTTGCCACTCACAAACACAATACTAACTACATTTTTCTCTGGAAAAACTCAAAAATGAGAAGAAGAAAAAAACACACACAACATTAAAATAATTCTTTACCCAGTCTGTAGTAAAAGGAGCTCCATTTGCCATCAAAATACGAACTTCATCATCTTGACCTGCTCGTGCCGCTTCTAAAAGCTTCTTTCCCAAATCTACCAGGGACATCTAAATAGAACATAGATGAATTGAACATCAAAATCTCCATTTATTCTTTATGACATGGGATTTTCCCTTCCTGTCTTTATTAATAAGTCAATTCTCAATTATCCCTTCAAAAGAGTTTCTTATGGTTAATTTTAAATTACAGATCATAGAAAAGCAATTTATATTTGAATTTTTGAATCTATTTTCCTTTCTCATTAAGTTTTTACTTAGAATAAAAGTTTAAATTCTCCAAATACACCTGCTAAAAGACAGAAGAGGTAAGAAGCAGAGAAAAGCTGGTCTAAATTTTTTTTTTTTTTTGAGACAGCCTCGCCCTGTCACCCAGGTTGGAATGCAGTGGCATGATCTCAGCTCACTGCAACCTCTGCCTCCTGGGTTCAAGCAATTCTTCTGCCTCAGCCTCCTAAGTAGCTGGGACTACAGGCATGCACCACCATGCTCAGCTAATTTTTGTATTTTCAGTAGAGATGGGGTTTCACCATGTAGGCCAGGCTGGTCTCAAACACCTGACCTCAAACAATCTGCCCACCTCGGCCTCCCAAAGTGCTGGGATTACAGGCGTGAGCCACCGCGCCCAGCCAAGCTGGTCTAAAATTTAAAACTGGCAACTAATTGTTTTCACTGGAGGGTTTGTAGCAATAAAATTTTTCATAGAAGTAAATAAAGTGCAAGATATTGTCCTCTGTTGCTGGTGCAAATTAAACTAAACTTACCATAATTTTTTTTTTTTGAGATGGAGTTTCGCTGTTATTACCCAGACTGGAGTGCAATGGCACAATCTCGGCTCACCGCAACCTCTGCCTTCTGGGTTCAAGCAATTCTCCTGCCTCAGCCTCCCGAGTAGCTGGGACTACAGGTGCGCACCACCATGCCCCATTAATTTTTGTATTTTTAGTAGAGACAGGGTTTCACCTTGTTGACCAGGATGGTCTTGATCTCTTGACCTCGTGATCCACCCGCCTCAGCCTCCCAAAGTGCTGGGATTATAGGCGTGAGCCACCACGCCCAGCCACTTACCATAAATTTTTTTGCAATAGTAAATGTGTTCAAAATTTTAAAATACAAATTTCTGCCCTCATACATGCAATGTATATTTAAGTTCTTCCAGAAAGTAAACAATTCACATTCTATGAAAATACTGAAAAGACAATACTAGTAATATGAATAGACTATTTGTCTCATTAAGAGGCTAAATGTGGTGGCTCACTTCTGTAATCCCAGCAGTTTTGGAGACTGAGACAGGTGGATCACTTGAGGCCAGGAGTTCAAGACCAGCCTGGCCAACATGGTGAAACCCTCATCTCTACTAAAAATAAAAAATTGGCTGGGCAGAGGGGCTCATGTCTGTAGTCCCAGCTACTCATGAAGCTGAGGCATAAGAATCACTTGAACCGGGGAGGTGGAGATTGCAGTGAGCCAAGATCGTGCCACTGCATTCCAGCCTGGGAGACAAAGTAAACTTTTTTCAAAAAAAGAAAAAAGCTGGAAAGAATATCTTGTATCTTGAAATAAATATATCTGAAAAGGCTAATGTCCCAGCCTAGGGTGTGAGGTGTGTGTGGGTAGCATAGATGTGTGTGTGTTTGTGTCTTCTTGAATAAGAAATATTAAAATATGTGTCAGAAAAAAGATTAGGACAGTAGAATATAGGTAAATTAAGATTTGAATGTATCACATGATGAAACCCAGTCTCTACTAAAAATTACAAAAAAAAAAAAAAAAGATTTGAATGTATCCTAAACATTCAAATTCAAGGGGTAACAGTTCTGAGAAAAAAGTTTCCAAACTGAGAAAGGCTAAGTAGCTGGAAAATTACTCAATTATGTTATACAGTATCGTAAGGAAAAGCAGAATTGTAAGCCTGTAGTGAAGGGACTATATGGAACCCCTAAGATTTACAATGAAAAAAAATGTGCCTGGGGTATGAATTTGTCTCAAAGAAAAGTATATATTCTGAGGGTTAGGTAAGTAGTCAAGAGGAAAAAAGTTATAAAGAGAATAATGGCAGGTTGACTAGTGTATCTCTACCTAGTATGAAGAACCATTACAGGCTGAGTATCCCTAAACCAAAAAACTGAAATCTGAATCTTTTTTGAGCATCATAGGAAATGCTCATTGAGGCATTTCAGATTTTGCATTTTTGCATTAGTGATGCTGAACCAGTAAGTATTAACGCAAATACTCCAAAATCTGAAAAAAAAAAAATCTGAAACACTTCTGGACTTAAGTATTTCAGATAAAGGATACTCAACCTGCACTCAAGAAGGAAGAAAAAGGAATGTGTGTGAGAAGGAAGTTGGCAAACGGGGCTTGAAAAGTTATAGCCAGGCGCAGTGGCTCACGTCTATAATCCCAGCACTTTGGGAGGCTGAGGCAGGCAGATTAAGAGGTCAGGGGTTTGAGACCAGCCTGACCAACATGATGAAACCCTGTCTCTACTAAAAAGACAAAAATTAGCCAGGCCTGGTGCCATGCGCCTGTAATCCCAGCTACTCGGGAGACTGATGGAAGAGAATCGCTTGAACCCAGGAGGCAGAGGTTGCGGTAAGCCAAGAGTACACCACTGCACTCCAGCCTGGATGAGAGCATGAGGCTCCCTCTCAAAAAAAAAAAAAAGAAAAAGAAAAGTTTTTTCTGCCAGGAAGAAATAAAATGTTCTACATTAAAAGGGATGTTAAGAAATCTAAAAGGGGTAATTATAAAGCTGTCCATGAAAATACACAGAATTACGCCTATGTTTTTCAGTATATTAAGTAAAATGGGAATAACCAAGCACAGAAGAGGTAACCAGGGACAAATACTAACACTTGGAGGCTTGCACAATAATTAGGTGAGATATACATATCCCAAACAGACTTTTTGTCACCACACAGGAAAGAATTTCTTAGAATTGTTTCATTTGTAGAGATAAAAATAATCTATATTATGGCCGGATGCAGTGGCTCAAACCTGGAATCCCACTACTCTGGGAGGTCAAGGCGGGTGAATCCCTTGAGGTCAGGAGTTCGAGACCAGTCTGGCCAACAAGGTGAAACTCCATCTCTACTAAAAATTCAATCCAGCCTGGGCAACAGAGCGAGACTTCATCTCAAAAAAAAAAAAAAAAAAAGCTGTATTATTTCCTGTAGTAAAAAAAATAAGAAAAACAACCACATACACTTGTGGGATTTATATGGGTTTTTAAAATACACTTTTTTGTGATACTTATAACATTTTCATCCTTGAATTTCTGATTTCCTTTTCTTCTCCTATTCTCTCATACCTTGATACAGTCACGGAAAGCCAAGATACTCCTCAATCCTGCTTAAGGGTACAAAAATCTATAGAGATTACTAATCTCCAATGAGGCATTTTTTCCTAGAGAATACGTAATCGCTGGACAATAAAAAATAACATCATATTCAACAGGAAAGAAACCTGCAAAAATAATTTCCTATTAAAGGCAGGATAAGCCAGAAAGAAACTGACCTCTCTCCTACAGAAGTACAGTAAAATCTAAACTGGTCACACTAACAAATACAGCATCTATACTCTGAATGATAAAAATCTGGCTTTATGATGAAACATATCTTTCCAAAAATATACATTTTAAATAGGTTTTATACAGGTAATATAAAATCAGTTTGCATTCATTCAGCTACATACTGCCAAATGGTTTAGATATCTGAATAGCTTTTATGAAGTGCCAGTTTAGGGCTTTTCCCTATTTTTAGAAATTGGGTTGTCTGTCTTTTTCTTATTGATTTGTAAACATTCTCACATATGTTCTGGATTTGAGTCCTTTGTCAAATGTAACAAGTATTATAAATGTCTCTGTCCAGAACACTGATTTTTGACTCCCCATCTTATGTTCTTTCTTTGCTATCACATAGCATTTTCTATGGGTAGATAATTGTTGGGTCTCATAAAAATGTGCAACTTCTACATATTAAAAAAAATTGAAATAAAGTAAGAAATGGCAAGGAAATATATTTACCACAAAAATGACTAGGAGAAACATTAGTGTTTTTACTTATTTAAAAGTTCTGACTCAAAATGAAAATGGGGGAAAAATAAACAGTAAGAACCCAGCACATCAATATTGAAAAGGCAGGATCTTACATTTTACAGGAAAAAAAAAATAGAAATAATTCACAAGGGCAAAAATGCTCAGTGTCACTGCTAATCTGGTTAATATAAAGTAATAATTTTAAAGTAATCTTGCCGTCAAGAATTAGGGGAAACTGATACTTTGATACACTGACAACTCAGATATGCTGATAGTAATATAAACGGATCAGCTTTATTTTTTAGTCAATTTGGCAAATTTAACAAGTTACAAAAACATCCAAGTTGATTGATCCAACAAGTGATCCCACTTCTAAGAACCTATTCTAAAGAAAAAACATACTGAAACAGATGTATCAATAAAGATTACATATGTATATATATATTATATATAACTTTTATAATGTAAACTATCTAAAGGTAAGAAAATGATTGAATTGTAGACTCTAAAGGAACAAAATGCAGTAATTTAACATAATAGTTCTGAAACTATATAACAACAAAAACTTATGCCACATTATGAAAATATATAAAACTTTTGAATGTCAAAATATGCATAAAAGTATAAAATACTGAAAAATATTAACAATTGTTTAGGATGGTATGATTATGGGAAATTTTGTCCTCATTTTACAAAGTTTCTGTAATGTTATATATTACCAAATTAAAAAAATTTTTTTTCTTTTAATTTTTTTTTTTTTTAGAGACAGAATTTCACTCTGTCACCCAGGCTGTAGGGCAATGGCGTGATCTCGGCTCACTGCAACCTTATCTTCCTGGGTTCAAGCGATTCTCCTGCCTCAGCCTCCCAAGTAGCTGGGATTACAGGTACCCACCACTACGCCCAGCTAACTTTTGTATATTTAGTAGAGACAGGGTATCACCATGTTGACCAAACTGGTCTTAAACTCCTGACCTCAGGTGATCCACCCACCTCGGCCTCCCAAAGTGCT